CCCAGGGATAAATCCCACTTGGTCAGGGTGAATAATCCTTTTAATGTACTGTTGGATCCTATTGGCTAGGATTTTGGTGAGAATTTTTCATCCATGTTCATCAAGGATATTGGTCTGTAATTCTCCTTTTTGATGGGGTCTTTGTCTGGTTTTGGGATCAAGGTAATGCTGGCCTCATAAAATGAGTTTGGAAGTTTTCCTTCCGTTTCTATTTTTTGGAACAGTTTCAGAAGAATAGGTATTAATTCTTCTTGAAATGTTTGGTAGAATTCTCCTGGGAAGCCATCTGGCCCTGGGCTTTTGTTTTTTGGGAGATTTTTGATGACTGCTTCAATTTCCTTAGTGGTTATAGGTCTGTTCAGGTTTTCTATTTCATCCTGGTTCAGTTTTGGTAGTTGATACATCTCTAGGAATGCATCCATCTCTTCCAGGTTATCTAATTTGCTGGCATAGAGTTGCTCATAATATGTTCTTATAATTGTTTGTATTTCTTTGGTGTTGGTTGTGATCTCTCCTCTTTCATTCATGATTTTGTTGATTTGGGTCATTTCTCTTCTCTTTTTGATAAGTCTGGCCAGGGGTTTATCAATCTTGTTAATTCTTTCAAAGAACCAGCTCCTAGTTTCGTTGATCTGTTCTACTGTTCTTTTAGTTTCTATTTCATTGATTTCTGCTCTGATCTTTATGATTTCTCTTCTCCTGCTGGGTTTAGGCTTTACTTGCTGTTCTTTCTCCAACTCCTTTAGGTGTAGGGTTAGGTTGTGTACTTGAGACCTTTCTTGTTTCTTGAGAAAGGCTTGTATTGCTATATACTTTCCTCTTAGGACTGCCTTTGCTGCATCCCAAAGATTTTGAACAGTTGTGTTTTCATTTTCATTGGTTTCCATGTATTTTTTTAATTCTTCTTTAATTTCCTGGTTGACCCATTCATTCTTCAGTAGGATGCTCTTTAGCCTCCATGTATTTGAGTTCTTTCCGACTTTCCTCTTGTGATTGAGTTCTAGTTTCAAAGCATTGTGGTCTGAAAATAGGCAGGGAATGATCCCAATCTTTTGGTACCGGTTGAGACCTGATTTATGACCTAGGATGTGATCTATTCTGGAGAATGTTCCATGGGCACTAGAGAAGAATGTGTATTCCGTTGCTTTGGGGTGGAATGTTCTGAATATGTCTGTGAAGTCCATTTGGTCCAGTGTGTCATTTAAAGTCTTTATTTCCTTGTTGATCTTTTGCTTAGACGATCTGTCCATTTCAGTGAGGGGGATGTTAAAGTCCCCCACTATTATTGTATTGTTGTCAATGTGTTTCTTTGCTTTTGTTATTAATTGCCTTATATAATTGGCTGCTCCCATGTTAGGGGCATAGATATTTACAATTGTTAGATCTTCTTGTTGGATAGATCCTTTAAGTATGATATAGTGTCCTTCCTCATCTCTTATTACAGTCTTTGGCTTAAAATCTAATTTGTCTGATATAAGGATTGCCACCCCAGCTTTCTTTTGGTGTCCATTAGCATGGTAAATGGTTTTCCACCCCCTCACTTTCAACCTGGGGGTGTCTTTGGGTCTAAAATGAGTCTCTTGCAGACAGCATATCGATGGATCTTGTTTTTTAATCCAGTCTGTTAGCCTGTGTCTTTTGATTGGGGCATTTAGCCCATTTACATTCAAGGTAACTATTGAAAGATAGGAATTTAGTGCCATTGTATTGCCTGTAAGGTGACTGTTACTGTATATTGTCTGTGTTCCTTTCTGGTCTATGTTGCTTTTAGGGTCTCTCTTTGCTTAGAGGACCCCTTTCAAGATTTCCTGTAGGGCTGGTTTTGTGTTTGCAAATTCCTTTAGTTTTTGTTTGTCCTGGAAGCTTTTTATCTCTCCTTCAATTTTCAATGACAGCCTAGCTGGATAGAGTATTCTTGGCTGCATATTTTTCTCATTAAGTGCTCTGAATATATCCTGCCAGTCCTTTCTGGCCTGCCAGGTCTCTGTGGATAGGTCTGTTGCCAATCTAATGTTTCTACCATTGTAGGTTACATATCTCTTCTCCCGAGCTGCTTTCAGGATTTTCTCTTTGTCTCTGAGACTCGTAAGTTTTACTATTAGATGTCGGGGTGTTGACCTGTTTTTATTGATTTTGAGAGGGGTTCTCTGTGCTTCCTGGATTTTCATGCCTGTTTCTTTCCCCAAATTAGGGAAGTTCTCTGCTATAATTTGCTCCATTATACCTTCTGGCCCTCTCTCTCTTTCTTCTTCTTCTGGGATCCCAATTATTCTAATGTTGTTTCGTCTTATGGTATCGCTTATCTCTCGAATTCTGCCCTCATGATCCAGTAGTTGTTTATCTCTCTTTTTCTCAGCTTCTTTATTTTCCATCATTTCATCTTCTATATGACTGATTCTCTCTTCTGCCTCATTTATTCTAGCAGTTAGCGCCCCCATTTTTGATTGCACCTCATTAATAGCCTTTTTGATTTCTACTTGGTTGGATTTTAGCTCTTTTACTTCTCCAGAAAGAGTTTCTCTAATAACTTCCATATTTTTTTCAAGCCCAGCTAGTATCTTTAAAGTGATGATTCTGAACTCTAGATCTGACATCGTACTAATGTCCGTATTCAGTAGGTCCCTGGCAGTCGGTACTACCTCTTGTTCTTTTTGTTGAGGTGATTTTTTCCGTCTTGTCATCTTGTGCAGAGGAGAATAGATTAATGAGAGAACAAAATGCTAGCAGAGTAACCACGTCCCCAGAAAATATACTCTAAACAAATCAGAAAAGACCTGAAGCAGTGGGATAAGAAGGGGAAAGAGAGAAAAAAGAAAAAGAAAAAAAAAAAAGAAAAAGATAAAGATAAAAACAAAAACAAACAAAACAAAACAACAACAACAAAAGAAAAACCAGAATGTGATCAAATATGATCTATATGGTATATAGATCAGTGCCACACACTAGATTTGGGGTGTATTTTGGTCTTTTAGAAGAAAGTGTCTCCCAAAATTTTAAAGAAAGAAAAACTTATATATGTACAAAAATAAGGGTTGATATGATGAAGGGATGGAAAATGACTGTAAAAATGGAAATTATAAAAAATTTTATAAAAGGAATTGATAAGAAGTTGTTTGAAAAAAGAAAGAAGAGGATTTAAAAAAAAAAGAAAAAGAAAAAAAAAAGGGAGAGGATGTGATCAGGCAGGGGAATAGAAAACACCATATACTAGAGATTTAGGGTATATTTTAATCTGTTAGAAGAAACTATCTCAAAATTTTAAAGAGAGAACAACTTATATATATATGCCAAAAATAGGGGTAACTACTATGAAAGGATAGAATATGACTCTAAAAATGAAAAATAAAAAAAATTTTTTTTTTAAAAAGGGATTGATAAGATGTTGGTTGAAAAAGGGAAAAAGAAAAATTCAAAAAGAAATAAAAAGACAAAAAGACAGTTAAAAAAAAATTAACTTTAAAAGACTAAAGAATCATGGTAAAAAAGCCGTGAATTCTATGTGCAGTAGTCCCTTAGCGCTGGAGTTCTGCCGTTCTCATTGATCGGTAAACTTGGGCTTGGCTGGCTGTTCTCGCTGACCTTCTGGGGAGGGGCCTGTTGCCGTGGTTTCCAAATGCCTTTGCCGGAGGCGGTATTGCCCCGCCCTTGGCCCCTCCCGGCTAAGTCATCTGCTCCGGTTTGCTCTCCGGGGCTTTTGTTCCCTGCGAGCTTTCCGTACAGCTTTGGAGGCGGAGAGTGAAGATGGCGGCCTCCCAATCTCCGCCCGGAGGAGCCGAGAACTCGGGGCCCCGCTCCTCAGTGAGCCCCAGAGAAAAGCCGTCAGTCACTCCCGTGTCCCCGCTCTCCGGCCGCACTCCGTGCTCGCCCGGCCTGTGACCGCGTTTCTCTCTCTGGCACCCGACCCCGGGTGGAGTCTCCAAACCCAGCAGATCCCTGCGGTGCGCTCCCGCGCGGCTCCTCCAGGGAAGGAAGGGGAGTCTCCCCAGATCTGCCGCTTGTTGGGTCCCTGCTGGAGGAGCAGGGGCCCGACTGGGCCGCGGATCAGGGTTTATGGCCACCCCGAGCTGAGAGCCCGCGCCTGGGCTCCGCCTCTGCAGCCGGCTTCCCTGCTCTATTTCCTGGGAGCTCGGCCACACTCAGGCACCCCCGGTCTTTCTGTGACCCCAAGGGTCCTGAGACCACACTGTCCCGGAGGGTTCCACCCCCCGCTTAGCCACCAGAGTGACGTCCCTCAGCAGAGCAGACTTTTAAAAGTTCCGATTCTGTGCTCCGTGGTTCTACCACTTGCCAGAAGCGGCGGACGGAGGCCCCTCCCCCGCCGTCTATCCTCCCGAATATCGCCTCGGATTCACTTCTCCGCACGTCCTACCTTCCAGAAAGTGGTCGCTTTTCTGTTCAGAAAGTTGTTGCTCTTCTTTTCTTTGATCTCCTGTTGGGTTTGTAGGTGTTCAGAATGGTTTGATCCCTATCCAGCTGAATTCCTGAGAGGAGATGAAATCCAGGTCTCCTACTCCTCTGCCATCTTGCTCCACCCCCCCAAAACTGGAGTTTCTTCAAGGGAACCTGTAATTACTCAATCAGACACCTGCTTCCAGACAGAGAATGGGCTAAAGTTAAAGCAACGTCTTTGTGCCAAAAGATACACCTTTCTCCACTTGGTTTGATTTCAAGAGGAGTGTTTATCAGAAATCTCAGGAACTGAATGGGAGGTGAGGGGATTAAGGAAAAGACAATGACAAGCCAAAGGAATCCAAAAAAAGGCAAAGGGTGGGGAGATCACAAAGGAGTTTCCTAGACCATGCTCCAAAAGCACGCTGGCTCTTGTCCAAGGGAAGGCTGAAGGCTCATGGGCTTATACAGGAGCCAACGCACTAAGCATAAAAAACCAAACCAACAAACAAACCCCCCTCCCCAAAACCCCACAGGTTTTATCACTGTTTTTAAACACTGGCATTTAGATGAATTTAAAGGAAAGCAAAAAGTTCATTAGCATGACTTACCTGGATGTGGTTGCTCCTCCAATCAACAGTGGAATCTTTATAGCCAATCTCTCCATTTCTTTGGCAACAAAAATCATTTCATCCAGGGAAGGAGTGATGAGTCCTGATAGGCCAATTATATCTATTATTTCAGAAAGGAAAAAAGGACAGTGAGGAGGAGGATGAGAGAAAACACAGAAAAGTATGCAAGACTCATTTTAAAACCTTTGTAATAAAGACCAGAAGACCTTAAATGAATTCCCAACTTCTAATTCTAAGACATCTTTTCTGGGGAGTTTCAATTTATTTGTTCACTTTTGGTAGTAAATATGATTTGTAGCTTCAAGTTGCAATAATGTGCTTGCCACAGTTTGGGGAAGCCATGCAAATAAAATACACTGTTTAGGATTTCCCAGACTTAAATGTGTCACAGTGTCTCAAGAAACATAAAAACGATGATACACAGAGAAAAATCTGATACGACCCTATAATAATCCTGTTCCCATTCCCCATCTTCCCAGCTGGGAGGAGTTTCACCGGTCCCTATTCACCAATCCAAACCCCACTATAAACGACAGTGAAAGCCCCCCACGCATGAACTGGCCCCTAATTGCCTGAGTGTGCCACTGGTCCCACGCGGGCTGGGGCGTCACCGGTTACCGACAGACACACCCTGCTGGTGAGGACATCCAGTGGAAAGCCCAGAAGCACAGGTGAACCGTACCTGCTTTATGGTCAAGAGCAGCTTTCAGGATCTTGTCACAGGGAGTCATGACTCCTAAATCAATAACTCTGGCGGACAGAAAGGAGATGTGAGAAAATTAATGAGAACCCATCAGAGACAAAGCCGAGATGAACATTTTTACTCAGCCACCAAACACTCCTCTAATGTCAACTGGAGTCACAGGGACATGCTCACTAATCACCGACAATCATCACAACTACAATGACCACTTATGAAGTACTTAGCACATATGCCAGGTGCTATGCTAAGATTTTTAAAGCAGCTTTATTGATACAGAATTCACACAGCATAAAATTCACCCATTCCAAAAATACGATTCAATCATTTTTGTCATGTGGCATTATTATTTTTTTTAAGCTCTGGTAAAATATGTAAAATATCGTTTGCCCTGTTACCCAATAAGTTTACCCAGAGGCACAAATTTCAGTCAGTCCTGATGTTGTGCAACCATCACCACTATTTTCAATGCCCTGTCATCATCCCAAATATAAACTTGGATCATTCAGTAACAATTTCCCATTCCCCCCGTTGTCAAGATGGAGAAAGGACCCACCATCAGTCATTTTTACAATTTAAGTTTATCATGAGTATGCATTTCACAGCATGCACTTTCACTTCTTTTACAATGTCATTAAAATAGGCAAAATATTTTTTTTTCTTTTTTAAAGATTTAATTTATTTGACAGAGAGAGAGAGAGACAGCGAGAGCAGGAACACAAGCAGGGGGAGTGGGAGAGGGAGAAGCAGGCTTCCCGCGGAGCAGGGAGCCCGATGCGGGGCTCGATCCCAGGACCCTGAGATCATGACCTGAGCCGAAGGCAGACGCTTAACAACTGAGTCACCCAGGCGCAAAATAATTTTAGATAAAAAAAAAAAAATCAATGCTACGAACTACTACTTGACACAGTATCATCTGGTAACAGTGGATGCCGGGCAGGAAGGAGTTTGCTTCTTGCTATATACGTGTTATACTGACTTTTCAGCTTGCTCCCATATCACTTAAAATTTTTTTAAAAAATAAACTAGCACATACAGACTCCTCAGTAAAAAACCAAGACAATTTCAAATCAATAATAACTATACTCAGGGTGTTAGCACTAACCTGGTAGAGGAAATGCTGCAGATTTTAATGCTGTGGTGCCACAGGGTATAACAAGAGTCAGAGGACACCACCTTTTTTTTTTTTTTTTTAGCATATTGAGAAGTCTGGTAATTGGATTTTTTGCTAAACTATAACTAAATATAGACTGTTGCATATAAAACTAAGCAAAATAGTATATTGCCTTTATTTTTTAAATTTAAATTCAATTAATTAGTAAATTGTCTTTAAATCAAGACAAAAAGGCATACATTTCAAAGCTGACTGTATTCAACATTGTATATGTATTTTTAAAATTCAACTAAAAATCGCCAGTATGATAGTAAGAATCAACTTGCTCTCGTGTCTTTTTCTTGTTTTAAGCAATGTGTCTTTCAGGAACTTCTTTGCATGCTTGCTTGGTTTGAGGACAGTAAGGAGACCTTGTGACTGAACAGAATGGGGGAGAGGAAATTGGAGGCAGAGAGGTCAGGGGGGAGGAGGGGGCATCTTAAGGGCCACAACTAGTTCAATTTTCAAAATACTAAGTTTGAGATTTCTTTCTTCCTTTTTTAAGAGAGAGAGCAATTAAGGATGGGGGGGTGGCAGAGGGAGAGAATTTTAAGCAGGCTCCCCGCCCAGTGCAGAGCCAATGTGGGGCTCAATCTCATGACCCTGAGACTATGACTTGAGCCGAAGTCAAGAGTTGGACACCCAGTCGACTGAGCCACCCAGGCACCCCCTAAATTTGACATTTCTTTAGTTATCCAAATGGAACTTGAAGCATCCCAGGAGGGCAATACCTCAGCTGAATTTTCAAAGAAAAAGTAGGTATCAGCTAGATGAAGGAAAAAAGAGGGCAGGCCAGGAAGAGACGAGCACTAAAGGTCCAGAATGAGGAACCAGGTAGCCCTGGGAACTTCAGCTGAAGGAAGGACCTGAAGCCTGGAGGGGAGGGGTGGGTTACAAACCCAGCCCTGCCTTCCGCAGCTCCCGCCCTACTTCCCACCGCCCCCTTGCCGTTGTCCTCATCTTCACCGCCATGTCCTGTTTCCCCCACACCTCCATTCTCCATTCTCCCATGTTTTCCCTTGGTTTCCCTTCTCCACCTGCAGCTCTATGCCCCATGTCCACAGGCCTCTTCTTATACACAGTCTTGTATTATGCCACGTGAGAGATTAAAAATAAAAATTAATGTTATGGGGGCGCCTGGGTGGCTCAGTCGTTAAGCGTCTGCCTTCGGCTCGGGTCATGATTCCAGGGTCCTGGGATTGAGCCCCGCATCAGGCTCCCTGCTCAGCGGGAGGCCTGCTTCTCCCTCTCCCAATCCCCCTGTTTGTGTTCCCTCTCTTGCTGTGTATCTCTCTGTCAAATAAATGAATAAAATCTTAAAAAAAAAAAATTAACGTTATGGGAAAATGGTGATTTTAAAATCATCTTTCTAAAGTGCTTATAACAGCTGTAAACGCAAGCAATAATTTGGGCTTCTAATTCAGAAAAAAATGTAAGCTGCACTCGCTGCTTTAGCAAAGGCATCCAATACTACCTAAGAATACATACAATTTAAAAAGTACTGTAATAGATAAAGTCCCTTGTACTCTCTGGAAGAATTAAAAAGGAAACTCAGAGCCATGCATCTGCATTCATTCAGGGTGCCTCCTATCTGCTGCAGTCTCCAGAAGTGAACTGAACAAAGACAGAATTTCCTTTCTGATCTTGCAATTCACAGGTGCTACCACCAGATGGCAGTATCCTACTACTTTGCAGTCCCCGTGGCCCGTTTCCAATCTGAGGTTAAGCGGAGCTAAGAGTCTGTTTCAATTTCTCCTTTAAAAAAAAATAAATTCTGGAAAGTCTCCCTTTCAAATATAATAAGTTGGGCAGACAAACTGAATAGCTATTTTTCCAAAGAAGACCTATAAAAGACCAATATGTATATGAGAAGATGCTCAGCATCACTAAGCATCAGGGAAATGCCAATCAAACCCATAATGAGATATCACCTCAAACCTGTTAAAATGGCTGTTTTCAAAAAGACAAGTGGTAACAAGTGTTGGCCAAGGCGTGGAGAAAATGTTCTCACCACAAAAAAGAAATGATAATTATGCGAAGGGATGGTGGTGTTAGCTAACACTACGGTGGTAATCATATTGCAATATGGAACTGTATCAAATCAGTACGCTGTACACCTTAAACTTACAAAAACTTACCATGTAACACACACACCCATACACACACATACTCATATACACACATCAGGTTGAAAGTCTATGAATAATCATCAAGTGAGCATGTGTGGTCAGGACAGGGTGGATTAGTGTGCCCTTGACTTAGTATAGTTGAACACTCTACCATTATTCTGTTCATTCATAACTCTTTGCTGCTTAATTTTTACTTATACTCCACAGGTAGATTAGCAAGCACTGGTTAAAATATAAACAGGCCTCTGTTATTACATTTCTCCAGATCCATATTTTTAAAGTACTAGATACAGGATATCTAATTTTAAATTTTCTTTTGACATATCCTGCTTTTTCTTACATAATTAAACAGTGTGCATTACCTGTTAAGTGGGAAAAATCCACATTTTCTATGTAATAATTAGTAAGGAGTGTATCTAAAATCCATTTTCATGTACTATCTGATCAAAAATCAAATTACATAAGAGGAATTTAACTAGAATATCAACATTAAACAGTACAGTTAAAGTTGCTTAACTTTATAACTAGAATCAATACTGGAAGATAAACTGACAGAGCACAGGGTCCTGACTTTTGGAACCAGAAGCCCTGGGCATATGGCCTGCCTCTTGCTGGCTGTGTGACCATGAAGAAACTGCTTAACCTCTCGAAGCCTCAGTTTCCTTGTGAGAAAGTGAGAAAGACAGTAATTGAAGCAGGCAGAGCAGGATTAAAACCATAAAAAGAAAGGAAGGATGAAAGAAAAGAAAGGAAAAGTAAAACATCAGGAAAAGGAGACAGAAAAAAATCAGTGCTATGAAAGCACTAATTTGTGAAGTGGTAAACTAATGTTAGGTATTAGTAGACTCTCAGTGGATACATCCCTGAGGTCTATTCAAATTCGCAAATTTATACATTCTATTATAACATAGAATCTAATGCGTCATCCCCATAAAAATGTTCTCTGTCTAGACAGGACTATCGTCTTTAGTCCCCTTTACTTCCTTTTCCTTCACAAAGAAGGAAGTTCTTTCCCTTTTATTAGATTTTCTGCATCAATGACAAACAGCCAGGAACTAGAAAGTTGTATTAGGATTTGGTACCAGATGGTTTGTTAGACTTACTCACTAGCTGGGTGGTTCACCCCAAATCTAGCCTAGAAACCTGATGCTCAGCAAAAGTACATGTTTAACTACATAAGGTAGATTTTCGGGGCACTTGTCTACTAGCTGACGCCATAAAATTAAACTGACCAGGTGGCCACGTGTTAAGAGACACAAGACCCAAAAGGGTGTCTGACGGGATAGAAAATGTTTGCACATTCACTTATATTTTTATAAAAGGAATAATTACAGTTTCACTGGAGGAGATATTTCTCCAGTTAGACTTATGAGCAAAGATAAGCAGACTTTCAATGCACAAGACAAAGGACTAGATGTGCTGGAGGAAAGCTTTGGGTTTAATAAGCAGGCTTTCACAAATGCTGACATTCCACACTAGGAGCACCCTGGAGAAATGCCACAGTTCTCCCTGGCCTCTTACAATGTCTCTACTGGAGGAAAAAACATTCCTAGTGCGACTCTCTTGGCTACTTATCCATTTTTCAAAATAAAAAATTATAAACACTTGACAATTATATCTCAAGAATTGCTTTAGGAAGTTTACCTACAAACTGCTTTTTTCAACAGTTTCTGTTCCATGATCACGGTTGACTATGTAACCCGGCTATTTAGTAAACAATAAATTCCTTGAATTCTTGAGAAACGCCAACTAAACCATTTCTGGTGTCACTAGTACAATGTGTGGTGTATAGGAGATGATCTATAAACATTTACGAGCTGAATTCAATTTTAACTAATTACAATGAATGCCAACAGAAGCCAACAACATGGGACTTGAAAAGGTGAGACAAGAGCAGAGATGTCTTATAGATTTCAGGAAGCAAACACCTTATCCAAATACTTATTCTACTGGGGAAATCTCATTACAACCACCTCCGAGGTATCTCCAATATATTTATCATTTAAAAAATAATGAATGCATCCCAAGAACAATATTCATTTCCAAGGACAAGAAGGAAGTGCTAAGTGTTCTGACAGTGAGTAGGCAGCAAACAGAAACACCAGTGAAGACAGAGGCAGAAAGGTGCCATCCTGACGCGGCTCCTCCATCTGGAGCCTCCCTGAGTGCTTCCTGGTTGCACTGAATTGCCTGGAAGGCAGAGATGGTTAACCAAGATGAGAGAGGGAGGGGATCAACGGGGAATTGTCACGGGACAGCAGGAGACACCTGTGAGGGGCTCCCTACTTCACAGAGAAAACAGCACATTGGAAAGAAGTCCATGACTCAAAGGGACTGGTGGTTGGACATGGACCAGAGAAGGCATTAGTTATATTAGGCTTCTGATCATAAAGAATATGTTCAAATCTGGGCAAAATGTACACTTACGGTCATCAGCTCTCACATGGAAATAACTGAGGGCTGAATATTCACTCTAATGAGATATGTCAGCCAGAGATTTTACTTCTATACAACATTTCAAAATCTAGCTTCATTGTTTCCAAGAGGGATGCATGGTCCTGTTCTAAGCAGGGGAAAGAGAGAATTGTACAGTCAAAGCCTTCTTACAACACCCCATTTAGCCAAAGTCTTATAAGATCTCAGTTCTAAAACATGGCAATTTATTGAGAAGAAAAACAGAATATGCCCCATGCCACTGGCTATGGGCAGGAGCCCAGTGTCCTAGTTATTAGAGCCTAGGCCCAAGGTCAATTCTCAAGAAGCCTCTTGGTTGTTCTGACCCTGCTGGAATAGCTTTTACTGTTCTTTTTGTCCTTACCACACAGATCACAGATTAATTACTAACTTACTTCATTTGAAAAGGTGTATTCAATGTAGAGAATGTACAAAACAGAGTCAGGAAACAGAAATGAAAAATCATCTACAATATCCATGGCCATACCCTCCTCCTCCTGACCAATAAAGAATCATCCTGTTAACGCTTTTATTTTTAAATAAGAAAGGGGTTGAAAGAGGTGAGTCTTAACTTACCTGAAATTATTGCAGCCAAGGACCACGCCAACTATGTTCTTGCCTATGTCGTGCACGTCGCCCTTCACGGTAGCCAACACAATGGTGCCCTGGTAAGGATCCTGGGGAGTAAGCCATGCAGCTGAGCATTGCTGTGCTCACTTAGAGCAGATCACCTAATTCCCTAGAGCCAGACAGGTGTTGCCACAGAAAGCACTTTCACAAAACCAAGGCAACCTCAAAAGCAGACCTAGAACCCACATCACGTGCTCTGCCAGTAGAAAGCTGTAAGCCCGAGCTGTCTGAAGGAGGCCTGCCTCGTTGGTCAGCCCAAGAAGCTTCAACCAGGGGTTCCATCACCTCAAAGAACAGGTTAAGGGCAACTACAAAACAGTCCCATAGCTGAAGAACATATCCTTAACTCCAAAAATGCTGTCTGATGAATATTTATTGTGAGCAGTAAGGGAGGAGGAGGGACCAGAGGGAGAAGCTGGAGAGTGCATACGGCCCATCGGAACCCGAATCACCATCTCAACAGCCCACTGCAGGGGCATTTCATTATATTTTGTTTCTTTAATACCATCGTGCTATGCACTGTGGGCACCCCTTCTCCCAAATATGTAACTAAATGAATGAATAAATCATTTTTTAAAAAGAGAAAAGAAAAGGGCATGCAAGGCAAGTGGGATTCTACATCTGCCGGAGCCATTGACAAACTCACATCAATATAAGAATTCAGAATCCCACAGGCCAAAGCTGGCTGAGCGTCACAGGGCGCTAAACAAGGTCAAAGCTTAATGATTTACTCTGGTGGTGCAGCCAACAGGAGTTAAATTGGATCCAGAAGCAGTGCTGGAACGTTACCAGGGTACAGAGACGATCAGTGAAGAGGTTTTCCAAAGCCAAACATCACTCAGTTGCCTCAAGGGCAGGGACCAAGTTCTGTAGCTACAGTGTGGAGCACCGTGCTGGGCACATAGTAGGAGCTCTGTTAAATGGTCAGCAGATGAATGAACGAACTGGTTTTGATTTGAAATCATGGGCTCTATCTGAAAAACTACGTTCATATTAAAAATTCACAAAGCCACACTCAAAGGAAAAGCCCAGGGTATTCTGAGACTGGGTTAAAGAGATCGTTGCTCCATTTTATCTTCAATGAGAAGCACAGCCAAGCCCCATGGTCCCTACCCCACCCCAGTAAGTCTTTGAGGCCAATTGCTCACAGGGCTCAGCGGCCTGGACAAAATGACTTGCCTCTTCTTCTTCTATGCCAGCATGCATTTTATTTTCTTCTCTTTCTTTTTCCATGAAGGGAATAAGGTGGCCAACAGCCTTCTTCATGACTCGAGCTGACTTTATAACCTAGGAAAAACACATGGAGTCAGGCGTCTTTACCTGATCCTGAATGGTTGCTGATGGCCACTTGTGAATTTCAGCCTAAATCAAGAATGCAAGCTTTGACCACTGGAGTCCACTTTTGACAGCAGACAGGATAAGGAACAAGTTCCTTGTGGGGAAAGATGATGAACAAGGCATAGCAGAAGGAAAACAAGGCTAGGACCCACATGCTGTGATTTCTGTCTTCCAAACTTCTGCACGGTATTTTTTCCTCAGCCTAGAAGGCTGTCTATCACTTCTCCAGGTTCTAGGCATCCTTTTCCAGCATGAGCCCTTTCTCAGCCTTCTCTTCTCGATCCCCAGCATTACAATTCACTTATAATTAAGGCTCATGCTTAAGCAAGAACAGGACCTTTTACAAAATTCATCAATGTATCCTAAAATTCATGGCTGGAAGTATGATGGGAAACAGGATATTTGCTCAGTCTCCAAGTTTCTCCCTACAAGTAAATTCACAGCGCAGAAAACCTAGCAGACACCATTAACCAAATGAGCAGAGTTCATATAACCATTAATGAGACCCAGCAACATTCTGGAAATCCTGATAAGATCCACTGTGAGGGGCACAGCAACGCTCTTATTCTTGCTGAAGAATGAGCAAACATCAGACAAACTCAAACTGAGGAACAGTCTACATAATAACTGTACTGTACTGAGGAAGGTAGGATAAAAAAGCAGTGTGGGATCTTGGAATAAAAAGAAAACAGTAGTGGAAAATGGTGAAATCTGAATGAGGTCCTTCTTTAACAGCATTACATTGATGTTAATTTCTGGGTTCTGCTAACTGCGCGAGGGTCAAGTAAAAACGCTAACATGAGTGGAAGAAGTTGGGGGAGGGATACAAGACATTTTTCAAACTACATTGCAAAATGTCTAATGTTTACTCAAAAATGCAAAGTGAAAAATAAGTCAGCAACATGAAGAACCAAGACCGAGGAACTGTCACAGGTTGGAGGAGATTAAGAGGACAGGACAACGAAACGTTCCTTAGCTCAAGTTAGCGAGAGTTTCACTAGTGCATGTGTTAAAACTCATCAAACTGCATCCTCTAAATATGTGCACTTCGTTGTATGTTAATTATAAAACAATAAAGCTGTTTAAAAAGGGGGGTAAATGTTATAAAGGAAATGGGCAATGAATTGAATACAGAATGAGTAATAAAAAAAAACAGAAACAAAAACAGGGCCTTTAAGTTTTGTGTAATGCCTCACAGCCCTAACCGTGATGGCTCAACACAGTTTGTTCACTGATATGGTCAACAGCTTCTATAAATCAAAATGAGAGTTCTGGCTTTCTTGAAAGTTACAATGTAATGTATATCACTATTTTAAATGGGAATGATTTGTTCAAAATACACATCCTTAAAGATGAATACTTGCTGGCAAATCAAACACGAATGCTATGAACTTTACATTCATCTTGGGTTTTATTGTAACTTGGGGGGAAGAGCAGATGGGTGTTGGGAGTAAGAGATGGGACACAGATCCAAACATGGAGATCAGAATGCTAACAGTTTCCATTGACCTCTAACCTGCACCTCACCCTAAAGATGGACCTTCCAGACACTACTCTTGAACACATTCAGAGAAAGAATGACCCGATCTCAAATGTCCCTAAGCTCTTATCAAAACCCAAACCTGAGAAATATACCCGAACTTACTATTTATTAAAAGACAAAGTCTTTTTCTTCCAGTTGTAAAAACTACACCCCGTCCGCTTTCCCCATCTTTTGCCAACCTGAGGTAGAAACATTTTTCCAGCTCCAAAAAGGTCACCAACAACTTTCATGCCGTTCATCAGAGGCCCTTCGATTATATTCAGAGGCCGGGGATATTTTTCCTGGTTTAACCTGGCTTCCTCAGTGTCCTCAATAATATATTTTTCAATACCCTATTAAAAAAAAAAAAAATTAGGGAAAAAAATCACATTAAAAATTGGCTTAAGTCCAAATACCCAATAAAGAATGAATCATGGAAATGCTTAAGAGTTCAGGTTTTGGAATCAGATTGCATGGGTTCAAATCCTGACTCCTATCACTAATCTTAGCAATTTACCAAGCCTCAGTTTCCTAAATAAAATTGTCGTATAGTACCTGCCTCAGGTGGTTATTTTGAGGATTAAATGAAATACCTATGTAAAGTGCTTAGCCGACTGGACTGACACAATGTAAGTACTCAGTAAAAGTGAGTTCCTAGTGAGAGAAGAAATACTAGTAAGTTCAAATTCATCATAAAATACACTTTGCATCCTAGTGGTTCAGCAGAGTATCCATTACTAAAGATCTCCTGTGAAATCAGCATGTTTTGTCCCTATGAAGCTCTGGGGCTGGCGGAGGAATGACAATGGGCAGGACCCTGAGGTGAAGTTCAAATCCATGAGGCTTCCGCAGGCTTCTCTAGCCGTCACTGATCAAGCCCTAATCCTCCGTGTCCACAGTTTGAGGTCCCTTGGATGTAGCTGACTGATTGTACAACTTCAAATATGCGAATCTCAAAAGCTTCAAGAAGTTAAAAGTTAAATTTGAGAGCCAAAAAAAAAACCTGAAATTCTCCAGACCACAATGAGGACAATGAAGCCAAGAGATTATGTTGTCTAAAATTCCAATTATCAGGATGCCTATGTGGCTTAGTCGGCTAAGTGTCTGCCTTTGGCTCAGGTCATGATCCCAGGGTCCTGGGATCGAGTCCTGCATCAGCCTCCCTGTTCAGCAGGGAGTCTGCTTCTCCCTCTCCCTCTGCCGCTCCCCCTCATTGGGCTCACTCTCTCTCACTCTGACAAATAAATAAATAAAATCTTAAAAAAAAATTCCAATTATCAGCAGAAGAGCCCAGACTTGCCTGTTGATCAAAAGACAGCAATTTGGTCTAGGAGAGTGTTTCTCAACCTTGGCACCACGGACATTCTGGGCTGAACGACTGTCATGTAGAGCCTATCCTGTGCACTATGGGATGTCCACAGCATCCCTGGCCACTGGATGCCAGGAACACCTCCCAAGCCCTATTGTGACAACCAAAAATATCTCCAGACTGAGCCAACGGTCCTGGAGGTGGTTGGGGGGGGGGGCACACTCCCTTGGGGCTGGTCTAGGGACTCTCCCCTCCAGCCGTCCATTTCATGCTCACTCCAGGCTCCTACAACTCACCTTCACGAGGGCGTACTCCAGGCGTTCTTCGATGGGGCCATTCCTCCACTCATCAGTCTGGATGACTTTCTTCCCTCCTTTGCCATGAGTCTGAGTTGAAATTAGGACAGACAGATGAGGATAACAGGCCCTCCTTGAACTACGTAGGAGCAAAAAACTGTGCTTCATTCTTCTCATATACTACCAGCGCTTAGCTGAGTATCCAGCATGAATTAAGGTCTCAATAAATGTTTGCAGGAAGAAGAGATAAGGAGAGGTCTTTCAGGATTTGATCCTATAGCAGAAGGACACAGTGAGGCCCCATTCTTCCTTTCCTACAAGGTAACAATTTCAAACGAAGGATTTCCAGGGCAGAAAGAGAAGCTCTTCCCCACATGTGAGGGGCCTCCAGAGCCCTCCACAAGGAGCATCATTACCCACAAATATGTGCAGAGAGCTGATGGGTGGAGTCAGCATCCAGGAGGTGGGCATGCCAAGAGCCACAGGACATGGCCTACGCCCTCCAGGCCTTGGCCACATCCTAGGGGAGGCAGAGAGGGCAAGCCACCAGAGAAAGCACGTGCCGGGGTCTGAATGAGCAGATAATACAGACAACTGTGTGATACAAACTAGACCGGGAACTTTGAGCAATGAGTCATCATCACAAACCAGGGTGGAGAGAGACCTCGAAGAAATGGATGGATTCAGCAAAGGGACAAAAAGTGCCACGATCGTGGCCCATCAGGTGAACTGCATGACCTTATTATCTGTTTTCTCCACATCAACTGGTGGCATCACTCGCCCCAACCAAAAATCTACAGAACATTCTTTAATATTCATTCCTCTCGTTCGGTCACTCACCGAGTCCTAATGACTACACCTCCTCTAAACTTCTTCCTGCCCCGTTTCCACATTTTCATGGTCCAAGCCACTAGCTGGTCTCTGCAGCCCAGAATTCCCCCAGTCTACAGTATATCTTCTGCACTGTAACCAGAGGGGCCTTCCCAAACTGCAAATCTCATCAAACCACCCCACATGACAAAAGTCATCATAAGTGTCCCATTCCTCCCAGGATAGAGTAGCTTCCATGCCAAGCACTCCTTTTCAAGGCTGCTCTCTGTGCCATGCAATGCCCCCACCTGGCTTTCTCCGATTGCTTCATCTTCTGCCTTGCGCAGCAAGCTCAGCTACCCCAAACATTTCAGTTCCTCACACTCTCTGTCATCTCTTTCACCTCTGGGCCTCCACATTCATTCGCGTGACACACATTTATTCAGCACCTACCCTCATGCCGGTCCCCGGCTAGACGCAAATTCCCCGCCCTGGCAGGGACCACCAGCCCTGCACTCCAACGCCAGAGCCCAGCCTGGCTAAGTCCCATTTAGCTTTCATGTCAGTCCTGACCCGCGCCTCCTGGGAAGCCTGCCCGGACCACCTCTACCTTTGGGATCAGGGGCCCTCCTGTGCGTTCTCACAGCTTCCTGCACTTGCCCTATCCCAGCACCAACCCGACTGGGTTACAACTGCCTCTCACATTTTCGTACACCTCACTCAACCGTAGGCCCTGGAGGGGCCCATCTCTCTTACTGGTTAGATCCTCTATGCTCAGTGAAGTGCACAGCACAGAACAAGAGCTCAGTAAATATTAGCTGAGTGATTTAATGCTGAACAAAACCAGATTTTCTGGAGCCACGTTTATGCAGGATAGTAGAGGACAAGTCACAGAGCACCAGAAATCCATGCTATCGAGTTTGGATTTAACCTTCCAGGCAGTTGGGGCGGGGGGAGGCGGTGAGAGCAGGACCAAATTCAAAATTCTGAAGCTGCTGGGGTGCCTGGGTGGCTCAGTCGTTGGGTGTCTGCCTTTAGCTCAGGTCATGATCCCAGGGTCCTGGGATTGAGCCCCGCATTGGGCTCCCTGCTCGGTGGGAAGCCTGCTTCTCCCTCTCCCACTCCCCCTGCTTGTGTTCCCTCTCTCGCTGTCTCTCCCTCTGTCAAATAAATAAATAAAATCTTTAAAAAAAAAATTCTGAAGCTGCAGAATAGCAAAGCAGTATTTTTAAAAGCACCTCAGAAGGGGGAAGAGATTTTAAAAGTCCGTGATCAAGGCCTGGACCACAGCGGTGGTGACAGGAAGGAAAGAAGACAAGCATAAAGACATTACATAACGGACAACATGTTAGAAGAGAGGGAAGGAAGGACCCAGGGAGAGCCCCCAGAACCGCAGGGCTGGGGTGCTAACGGCAAGACTGATGGCACAAGGGCTTCCTCCCCTACCAGAAAAACTAAAGATGGTGACTCCAAAAGAATGATTGGCAGCATTATTGCCAGTAGCCAGGCACAGAAGTGACCTAAATGTGCATGGATGGATGAACAGACACACAAAATGTGGCATAGACACATACAAGGTAATACTATTCAGCCATAAAGGAGAAAAACCCAAACCAGAGTTGTGTGGCACTGCCAAAAGAAAACCAAAAAGAGAAGAGAAAAGGAAGTCCTTCTGAAGCTCACAATCCTCTCACTTGATACGTGTGATGCACCATTTGCTCTGTTAGCCATGGCATCAGGCAATTCCTGCGGGTGGGACAGAGTCTGAGGAGTGAAAACAGGACACGGTTCCTAACACTCTTGGAGAAAGGACCTGGCGTGTTCACAGAAAGATCCCACGGAGCGCAGCGCCATGGGGCGGGGAGCGGTCAGGACCTATGTGACGATGAACAGCGGCTACTGAGGATCCGGGGAAGGCCAACGAAGATTTCACCCAAGTGTCGGAGGCTGCAATGAATGAAAACTACCCCACCTGATGACTGTGCTTCAGAAAATCAAAACTTAAAACAAAGGGCACATTTGAAAGCTGCTATTTCAGGAGCACAACATGGCATGCTGAGCCCACCTTGCTTTCCAACTAGTTATTCGAGAGAACCCTCTCCACAATCTAAGTGCAAAATCCGCACAGGTGGGACCACACACCAGCCACGCTGTGGATGCTCATCAAACACGAGGTTACCCAGCAAACCGACCAACGGTCATGTCCATCTGGCTATCCGTGTCTCTGTTGCTACTACTCTAGAGTAGATCCCGAGTCAGAGGCTCCCCATGGGATCTGTGCTTTGTTTCTGACAAACAAAAAAGCTGGACAGGCATCAAGGGGAGTAAACTGCTCGAGAGGAAGACAAAGAAGAACATGACCTCCAGTGGCAATGAGGAAGATGAACGCCAGACCAAGGATCCAATAACTTTTTTCCCAGAAAAGCATCAAAAATATTCTCACAACCCAAGGTCATTCAGGAGCCACTGTATTCAGAGCAGAGATCCTTCCAGGCCAAAGGGGTCATGACCTCTATTAGGGTACTGCTTAGTAAAGAAACTCCATGGGAAAAAAAGGAAAGAAAGAAACTCCACGGAAATCATACGGTACCATGATACCTGGAACTTTTCATTACCAAAAATAATTTACTTACCACAGGTCAGCCTGTGCCAAATTTAAGTAATTATTTTTCAATAAACCCATTAACTCCCCCAAAGTGGGATTAGAGAGCTTAGCAAGATCAGAAAAAAGACTCTTTCCACCTTTTAAGATTTTATTTGAGAGAGAGAGAGAAAGAGAGAGAACAAGCAAGCAGAGGGGCAGAGGGAGAGGGAGAAGCAGACTCTCCGCTGAGCAGGGAGCCCGACGTGGGGCTCGATCCCAGGACCTAAGATTATGAGCTGAGCCGAAGGCAGATGCTTAACCAACTGAGCCACCCAGGCGCCCCTCCACCTTTTCAATAACGTATCACACAGGAACTTGGGTACAGACTTCATCATTTAATAACAAAAAGAGATAATCATTCTCTTACAAAGAAAAAAAAAAAAATCCTTGCCCCTTATTTGCCTCTTAATTTCACTGCTTTTTATGCTCCATTTGCACTCAGTATATCCTGAGAAATGCTACAGAGCTGGCAACTCCTGGGACTTATTAAGTATACCTGTTTTGGTTATTAATTCCCTTAATGGTAACAGAAGTCACCTTGAATATAGACAGTTAGCCTACCTGACAGAGGGGTCAATGGCTTGTAATAAGTCCTTGTGGTTACATTAAGAGGCAGGAAATTTCTTATATGATGGATTATTAAAATCTTACAATTGCTATTAAGATTTCCCTCAGTTTGGCTGTGCCCCAGAGGCAAAACCTCTTGACAGCTCAGCACAACATGCAGAAAGAAAAACTTGTAAACAAATGCTAACAGTAAACAGACCCAAAAGAATGACTGACATAAAATACAAAGTCAATAACACCTTAAATGAGAATAGTATTTCAGTGAAGGAGCCCGATCTTTCCTACATGACAGAGTGGAGGAAAAATTGAAATAGTGCATCCTTGAGTGGGTTAAGAACTCTTTGGTGTAACTTCATGTTTATAGAACCCATGATGCCCTTTTGGCCTTCAACAGAACACTGTCTCAGTTATTATTCCACTGGGTGGAAGACAGGCAAAGAAGAAAACAGGGTAGTGTTCCACACTCAGGGGCTAAGTACTTTGTCTAGATGAGCAGAAACAGCCCTGGAAAGATGGGGGGGGAAATCTAGAGACTGTTTCTTATGCAATGAGCTGAGAAGCAGAACATGATTATATTTGCAATAATCAAGACCTGAGACATTCTGTCCTGGGTCCACAAGAGAAATCAGCAAAGTTTTTAAGGAACTGGGAGGAGGGTCCTGTGCTCACCGGCACAGTCTGATCTCCATCAGCTTTGCTGAGCCTACAGCAATTTCAGAAATTTAAATCTTGCCACCCATAAAGCTGACAAATCAAGGATGCAGTTAATCCTAAACCATCCTAGCCTTCTTCCAGAACACTCTAGTACTCACTCTGCAATGGAAGAGGAAAAGTAAACACTGCTGCCAGAGTTATATTCAGATTTTAACACGGAAAACATTAACAAAGGGGACAGCATCCATGAAAGCGTTCTACCACTTTCCCCACGTACTTTGTGAGAAAAATGTCTTCCTTGCCATTGCTTTCTGAAATAAACTAAAAAGTTTTTTTTGAGGTAAAGATGTCATCTCTCCTTAAACAGGATTCCAGGAAGCAGCACCTATGATAGATGCTTAATGTACCTACGACTGCCTGGCACACAATGAGAGAGAAACAAGAAACCGATTTTTGGATTGATTATCATATTCTCATGTCTTTAGATCAAATGTGTATAGACCCCAAGCCTCAAACTGCGGAACCTTGCCACAGATGGACCAGATCCTGATATAAACAAATGTAAACACATTGCAATGAGTACCAAGTAATAACACAGTCACACAAGAAAAGCCAAAAGAGCGAATTTAAATTATGAGGTGGAAAAATATCTCGTAAAATGGAAAGATGTTCCCAATATACTGCTAAACAAATAGGTTACCAAAAAGCATCTAGAATAGAGGTCTGTTTTTGTAAAACTGTGTGTGTGTGTGCATGTGTGTGAGTGTGCGTGTATATATGTGTGTGTGTGGACACAGCGGTGAGGACATATTCATTTCGAAAATAAAACCAAAACCATGACTGGAAGGTCATAACATCTCAACAGTGGTTAACTTTGGGTGACAGGGTTCTGAGGGATTTTTATTTCCTTCTTTTGCTTGTCTATACTTTATAAATTTTCTAGAATAACTATGTGTTACTTCAGTATGGGACAAAATTAGTTTTACAATTTAAAACAGATTTAAAGAAACCTAGACCCTTAACTAAAATGGCTTCTCTGGGACTCTCTGTAGAAATCTTCAGTGACCCAAAGACATCATTAGATGCCTGCTCCTGGTCTACAACAGAGGTCAAATAACTGTAAGTGGGTGACAAGTTCGAAGGCAGGAAAAGCCCTCGTCAGAACACTTTTCTCTCTACCTGAGCATAGCGCAGGAGCTTCTCAGTGGCTTCAGGGTCTTTATTCCAGATGAGATCTTCACAGAGCTGGAGAAGCTCCTTGTGGATATCATCATATACGGGGAGGCTTCCCGCATTCACTATCCCCATGTCCATACCAAACTAAGGGCAAGAAAAAGAAAAAAATGAGGATTTCCAGGGATACTCGACATCAGGGGTCAGCAAACATTTTCTGTAGAAAATATTTTTAGGTCACAGTCTCTGTCACAGCTACTCAGCTCTGCAACTGTCCCAGAAAAGCTGCCATGGACAACATATATAGCACGAATAGGACGTTATTCACAGAGACTGGAAGCAGGCCAGAGCCAGTCTGTGGGCCAAAGGGGACAAAACCCCTGCCCTGAGTTGCTTTCAAAGGGCAAACAGGTGTTCTACCGTACCTTGATTGCGTGGTAAAGGAAAACCCCATGCATTGCTTCTCGAATGGCTTCCATTCCGCGGAAGGAGAAGGACAAGTTGGAAAGACCTCCACTTACTCGGGCTCCAGGTAGGGTTTCCTGGCAAATATTTTAAAATGTGAAAAGATTTCCCTATTTCGCCAAAAGCAGGAATCACAGCCCTCAAGCTTTATATGTAAGAGTGGAAAGTAAAAAACATGAAGTTCGACATAATCCAGAGCTTCTTGTAGCCAGAAAGAGACCAAAACTTGCCATATTATGGCATCGCGAAAGCACTGCCTCATAGAGTTTCTCCTACTAGGCTCTAATATCCCTGAGAGAAAATAAAAAATTCTGCCTTATCTCTGTAGGTCTCCTCAGTGGGCCTGATGAGGCCGCGGTACCTAGTGAGTGTGCCATAAAATAGTTCCTGAATCGGTAACAGAGACAGAGAGTGTCATTCACTCAAAGGCTTCTGGAGCCTGAATGAACCAACTCCCTAATTCACCATAAACTTGACTAATTCTAACAGGACAGAATGAAACTGAGGTTCCCAGCACACCTTAGGACGATGTCCAGCATCAGCACGCATGTGGGAACAACAGGAACTCTTACTCCCTATCGGCTAAAGTGCAAACCAGCTCAAGTGTTTAGGGAGACAGCTCACCGTACCTACTGCTGTGACCCGACCATCCCACTTCTGGGGTATACGCTATAGAAAAACACATGTGCACTCAAGTTACACATACAAGAATGATCATGGCAGCATTGCTCATACTGTCCAAAATGGGAAACAAACCAAATGTCTATCAACACTAGAACAGTTAATTGTGGAATAGTTACACGATGAAATGTTATACCTTCATGAAAATGAACAAAGTCCAAGCTACAACAACATAGATGAATTTTTTAAGTAAGTTTGGGTAAGCCAAAAAGACCTAAGAATCTTAAGACTCTATTTATATGAAGCTCAAAAATTGGCCAAACTAAACTGCATTGTTTATACAGCCGATTCTTGGTATTTGCAGGAGTTATGTTGTATAAAGTCACTGTGAACAACGAATTCGGGAATATTGAGAACCACTGCTCCTCGGGGGAAAAGTAGAGTTATGCTTCCATGAACCCCTGGTCACACAATTTTCATCTACTCATCAATACAAAAACCCGTTTTATGTGTGTTTCTGTGTAAAGACATCTTGTTTAACGAATACTATTGATTCACTAACACTGAGCTCGTGGCCAACTGGCTCTCAACGACTCACGTCTAAACAAAGCTTATCTAAACACAAGCATTTTCTCCGTAAGGCTCGTCTCGGCCTTCCTGCAACCAGGAACATTAGAAAGCACTTTAACACTATACTTGGGGGCCATTTAGACAGAGAAATAAATTACCCTGAGAAAGGTCAAAACGGTGAAAAACATGGCACTACATAGACTGTGCATTGGACACTTGTTTACAGAATGAGAGCTGAAACAAGTAGCAGAGTTTGTGGACCTCATCTGGGAACACGTGGGTTGGGCCACTCGAATTGTTCACCTCTCTGCAGAATGATTGCAAAAGCACCAAGAGAATTGATTTTGGGGTCACAAATAAACTTTAGCAAGTAGGTGAATCTGCAAACACAAAATCCATGGATAATTCAGACTGTACATAAGCGATAAAATGATAAAGAAAAGCAACAAAGTGGTATCATAAAACAGGATGACGGCTGCATCACAAAATTCAAAAGTTGAGGGTGTAATCTGAAAGGGAGAGTCACAGGGGCGCACATGGTCTGTTTCATGACCTAAGTAAAAGCTATTATGTGCTTCCTAATTATTTATTATACCCTGTATTTTTTATATATTTTCTCCAGTATGTACATTCTACTTCATAGCGTAAAACATCACATCAAAGAAAAATAATAAAGGGCCCTAAGTTTCAGAAAACCAATTTACTACCTAAGAGTAAACTGTCAACATTCCCAGCCAATAAACAGATATGTTAGCTCAAACTATTCACTGGAGCCATGACATAAATTTGAGTGATGTCCTGAGTAGAAGAGAGAAAATACCCATACTTACTTTAATGATTTTTGTTGCCTGGATAAAATTAACAGCATACAAGTTGTGCTCTTCCATCCCGGTACCAATGGTGAGGATGTTAGGGTCAAAGATAATGTCATTTGGATTAAAGCCCAGTTTTTTCACAAGTAGATGGTAGGCCTGCATGCACACTCTGATTTTGGTGTCTGTTTCTGTCGCCTGGGGAAAGGAGCAAAAGATGTAATTTAAAATAGAAAAATGAAGTGGTATCTACGAAAACAGAAGCACATTTTACTTTTCAAAGCACTTAACTATCAATGCTTGGATTTCATAGAAATCCAAATGCCAAGCATTTATCAAATTATCTCAGAGGAGGAGATGGTTTAAAGTCACTTTGTGTTTTCATCCGCACAACAGCTACACTGCTTCTGTGAAAATCACATCTTACACACACAGAGATGGTAGATTAATAAACAGGCTTCATACAAAATACACACATGCGATAAAGATTCAAATGCTCCTAAGGAACAATGAAAAAATAAGCATCCCTCCTGTCCCGAACTGCCCGCAGTACCTTAATGCATCATCCAGGCAACGCTACCACAAGCTTCCTGCTCTGACATTCCACAAAGATTCAAGGATATGTCCCCAGCTTCTTCCCAACCCCCCAAACACTGGCTAATTAATGTGGGCCTTAAGCCATCAATATAAATTAGTATTGCTCTTCAAAATAATGACATTGGAAGGCAAAGGAGTGACTCCAGCAAAGACTCAAACTCCCAGTCACTTCCCCTCATCCTCAGAATCAGGGCCCACATCTCCGGTTTGAATTCCTACCAACTGCCCCTCCTCTACTCTACTCTCCCCTCAGTTCCTCTGACAGTCCTGAAACTTGCCAAGCTCCTCCTACCTTCGGGCCTTTCCATTTATCAATGCCACTGGTGTGTAGCTCAGGACACACCAGGACGTGGCCGTGTGCCTCACGTCACTCGAGTCTCTTCCCAGTAAGGCCTTCCTCACTCACCGGCTCCAAACCAGCCCCTCCGCCATCTTGCCTGCTTCCTTTGTCTTCTTTATGGTACCTCTTTCTAGAACTTGTATTTATTTGGCAACTTCTTTATCTGCTTTATTATTTATTATTAACTTGTTGAGCCAGAATGCCAATCTTGCTATACCCCCCAAGTCTACAGCAGTGCCCGCCCAGAGTATGTACTCAATACTGTTCACTGAATGAATGTATGCTGCTTTTACTCAAAGCCTTTCCGAACTTTGTCATGGAGACTCTCTTCCCATCTAATTTACAACCTCAACACAGAGCTTATGCCACAAAGTACATTCTGAGTGATTTCTTATATAAAAAATCAAGTCTGGGCTGCCTGGGTGGCTCAGTTGGTTAAATGTCCACCTTTGGCTCAGATCATGATCCCAGGGTCCTGGGATCAAGTCCTGCATTGGGCTCCCTGCTTTGTGGGGGGTCTGCTTCTCCCTCCCCCTTTACCCCTGCCTGCCCCCACTTCCCCATGTCCTCCCTTGCTCTGCTCTCTCTCAAATAAATAAATAATCTTAAAAAAAATATATCAAATCCGCTCTGAAGAAAAGCTGAACATTTGCTAGCACTAGAGTAGTTCCAAAAAACTAAGTCACATACAATTCTGAAGAGATGTGCAAAATGCTCCTGGAAAGTGGCCAACACCAATGAACCGCATGTTGAGTCTCCAAGCTACCTACTTTGAGGCAGGGCGCCCTTGGCTAGATGCGGACACTAAGCATGGTGAAGACTCAGGTCCTGATCACACACATTCTGACCTCTGGAGAGGGCTCTCCAGGCAAGCACACAGATGAGGGTGGGGACACTGTTGTAGCTCCAGGGTATTCAGGGAATCCCCACCTTCTAGAGAAAGACATGGTAGTCTAATTACACAAAGAGCTCGCGCTTACACCTAGGCTTTCAATAGCTTACCTACTTTGGTATCCATTCAACTATTCCCTTCAGTCTCGAATGTCTCCCTGCTTCCTGCAGCTGGTGGGGTTAGATTTCACCTCTGGCTGCCTCAAGGCACCCATGACGAAGAAGACCAAGGGGCCCTGGGAGAGGGAGACAGGAGTGGGCTCTGTGGCCTCACTGCTCCAGGCTTTAGGGAAGGTGGCAAGCTCTCATCTTCCTTAGCTGAAGTTCTTCAACAACTTACTTACTCCTTCAGTGAGAGTGACAAGGTTAAGAGCAAGATGTGGGCCCAGAAGAAAGGAGTCAGGAGCAGGTCACCCAGGGAAGCCTTTAGTTTTAGACTTTGGTTCATCCTTTACCAGCGAGCCAAATGAGAATTCGAGGTTCCAGGTTCATGGCCCAGCTAAGCTCCCTAAGAAAGAAGGTACAGGGGTTTGGGGCTCCAAAGCTAGAAGCTAGAGCTTCTTAGAACCTAGTTTGGTTGGTAGGTCAAGAAATCAAGGTCCTGCTCATTTCTCCAAGCCTCGAAGGACACCTGGCCTTATCTGGCAGGCTAAGTATGCTCCTCACAGGGGAGCAGGAAGTCCAGCCACCACACAAGCAACAAGGAGGAAGGTCTTCCCAGGACAGGAATCCTCTTATAGGGCCGGAACAGAATCACCAACTATCAGTCCCAGAAGGATGGGGCCTTGTCAAATTGTTCCTGTAGCACCCAGCAGAGTGCCTATCACCTTAACAGACAACTCCTATCTGCTGGATAAACAAAAGAATCTCAAAATGACCAGGCTTTCAGGGTACGGGCCTTTGCCAGGAGCAGGTCATATCACGTTAGATTCGCCAAGGTTTTCTTTGTCGTGTTCCTCAGCCAGGGTTATGAAATATGCACATCAGTCAGTCTCAGTCATGCCTGAGGATCTCACAGACCTGGAAGAGAGGTCCAGGAGACCCAGAAGAGAGGTCCAAGAGACCCAGAAGAGAGGCCCAGGAAAGAACGGAATGGGAACCTTCCTCTATTTGCAAGGGCTCTCAACTCTGGTTGCATATTATCGCTGGAGGCTTCTTATTCGTGTGCTAATACCTGGACTGCACCCTAGACCCGTTAGATCAGGATCTTGAGAAGAGACCTAAAGCAACAGTATTTTTAGGAGCCCCTAGTGATTCTAACACACAGACAGGATGGGGCCCCAGGTTGGTGAGGCGCCATCTTCTCCGGTCAAGCTATGAGAAAACCTGAGTGACAATACCACAAATCTAGGGGTCAAGAAGGAATAAATACTTTTAATGATTTTATGAGTTACCCAGTTTACTCTTGAGCTTCAGAAAGCTAGACAGCCATCAGTAGGTAGAAGATTTAGTTAAGAAATCCAACAGTCAGGCTTTGCTAGAATATCACTCTCAGGGAAAAAGGAGATAAAACAATTTTTGATTGACTCATCAAGGTGGATGCTGGGAGGAAGAGATAGAAAAGGTGGAAGATACCTAGAATCTATAAGAATGCAGCCAGACAAGGAACAGGGAAGGAACAAGACCAACTGCTGAGGTAGGTCAAAGGTTCCCCACGGAATGAGCTTCACATGGGCCAGGGAATGCGGCAGGAGGCCCATCCTGCTGCCACCAAGTCCCCAACAGCAGCAATGGAAAGGGACGTCTGTGCCACCATCAGGAGGGCACTGACAAGTCAGAAGGAAAAAAGCCAAAGAAAGGTTTTACGTTTACTTAAAAAGTTTACGAGGACAAACGCTCTGGCTTTTCAGAACCACTGAGGGCGTCGGCTTAGTTCAGAAATTTTCTGGGTGGACTGTCCACTGTGGGCAGGAGTTAGGGATGCAGAAGCAGCATCTCGAGGTCAGAAGCGAAGGCACGGGGTGAAGACGGGGGAGATCCTGCTCGTGGCTGAAGAGCAGAGTAGAAGAGTGAGCTGGAGTCACTGGAAATGCAAGGCCAACCTGGAACGTGGTGCCCCCAGCACAGCTCATGTTCCATCAGGGAATCCGGAAGCCAGGGACTCGGGACTGAGCAGGAAACAGACCCAATGTCAGACAGGGAACGAGACTGAGAGGCGATCTCCACAGTGTGCCAACACCAGGGAGGAGAAAAGGGTCTCATCTGGGACCACTGCTGACAAAGCAAATGAGGAAATCAGAAACCAGACTCATCTGCCTGTCATCATCATGATCCAATGCCCACCCATGGCTTTTTTTCTAGAAACCACAGGCAGAGGTTGTTGCTGGAAAAATCCTACTCGGAAGTGCCCAGGTGAAGCAGCACCATATCCTAACAGGGGGCACACGACCTGGTTCCAATCTTCTCTTTCACAAACAAGAATGCCAGGTGTGTGTGCTGGGAAGCCGGAGGGCCTGAGCTGAGGGAGACGCCAGCTATATGCTGTGCTGTTACTCTTGTGAAGTCAATGAACATCCCAGGCTCTGTGGATGTCTTAGGACTGAGTGCTTGGAGGCCCCCTATTCCTCACATCCCTGCCATGAACTCCCACCTCTGAAGGTAATCTAGAGAAGTCTCTTTCTTACTAAGAATTTAAGATCTGGGGTGCCTGGCTGGCTCAGTCAGAGGAGCATGCAGCTCTTGATCTTGGGGTTGTGAGTTCGAGCCCACATTGGGTGAAGAGATACTTAAATAAATAAATAAATAAACTTAAAAAAATAATTTAAGATCTATAGTCCATCTTATAAGGAAAGGCCCAAGAATGGAAATAATCATGTAAGCTTAGCCAGGGAGTAGGGACCTCTGTAGAGCCACTGAAAAGGAGGCACTTAAAATGCAGAAATATAGGTCGGATTTTCAGAAGGTCAGAGGAGAACATGTGAGAATCAGTTCCTAGGTGTGGGCCAACTACCTTCAGAGAGGGAAAATAAAGGGAATGTTAAGAACTATTACTTCCGTTTCCTAGAACTAGTTATAATACCATAGTGCGTATTTTCCTGGAAAATACAACTGAAAAACAGTATCAATTTATCTAAATTCACTAAAGAGGCCATTACCAAATAAAAATCCAAAAAATCACTACCAAAGTAAAAATATTTACGAAAGGAAAAATACGCCGATCACAACAACAACAAAGCAACACAAAATACCTAGGAACGTTCTTGAGATTTCCTATTTAAGAACAGCTATAAAACTTGATTAAAAGTAACTGGAAAGACATACCATGCTCCTGAATGACAACGCTGAATATTGCCAAAATAGCACTATTTTTAGGTTAGGGTTAATTAAATTTTAATCACTATCCCAATGGGGCTTTATTACTCCATAAACT